AGTTATTTGGTTTTCTTGTTTCATCATCTATTGAATTAAAGTCACTTTACATCTGTCATGTGACTCACAATAGCTATGGCTAAAACACATTTGACTCATTTACTCTGTACACTGAGTGTATTTTGTAAGATGAAGATTCTATTAAACTTTGATTAACCTTGAGTAACATGGAGCAAAATGTACCCCTGCCATACACGCGACTCGGATTTCCCGGTTGATGTGTCTGTAAATTGTGTCAGTGAATGTACTTGTAGTGAAGACTCTCATAAAACATAAATAGGGATCATCAGTGTCTCTCCTGAGGAGCTTGACCAAAGATACGTTGCTCCCTCAGTAATGCCAGCTGTATCTATCAGAATCTCTCTCTGTCTCTCCTCATGTTGAGACTCCAGTGTGTCTAACTCTATTTGCTTTGGTGTTTTATGGTGAGTTTACCATCAGAGTTTGACACGGAAAGGTCAAATGTGAATAAAGACTTTCTCGTGTTAATGGGCTAAGAACAAATCCTTTATGTTGGTTATCTTATGAGCTAACCAAACTGAATACTTGATTTGATTTTATCTAATCAATTCTGCTCAGTTACAATGATGCCTTCTTGAACTGTTGTATGACGCAAAAGCTTGCCCAAATAGGTAAATCAAATGTGATTGCCTTCAAGCTTTTTGGTTCTCTAATTTAATCACAGCTCGATAAAATCTTTATCAAAGGTGTTTAGTGCTAAAGATAAAAACAAAAGTATCACGGGGAGAAATCTAACTGCTTGTGCATCTGTTAATTTGATGATCACAGCATCGCTAGACTAGAAAAGCCTGACAGGCAAAGCAAAGACATTTAATTACTTACGGAGGCTATATACAAATCAGCTGCATAATATTTGACTTGTAAAACAAACAAAGACTCTAAAGGCAACTTGTAGCATTAGGCACTAAGACTTTAGCAGCAGTCACATTGTAAGGTTGTTCTTACAGCACAGAAGATACATCAAACTGAAAAGAAGTCAATGCCTAGAAGTCTTTGTTGTGTCCTCTAACCATTCCTCAGCAGCTCTTGCAGTGTGACAACATTAGAGATCAGAGCCAGCCTTTACTTCCCATGCACATCACTATGCCCACATCCCTGTCACCTATGCATTGGTTTTCCTTCCTTCTACTAACCTCTGCAGAACATTTCTGACCCTTTCTACCCACCACAGTTTGTCTCTTTTCAAAAATCTCGTAGGTCCTATCACTTATCCACATTTAGCTCTCCAAGGAATGACTGTTTCTAATAGGATATATACCCCAGCTTCCACCCCCTCCACATAACTGACACCTTTGTAACAGTATTAATTAATCTCACCTGTCAGTAGCTGGTAGTTTTATATGTCCTGTATAATGATGAGGATCAGACATGGGAAAAGATTAATGTTAAGGATTCAAGGACCACAAACGCCTCCACTGATAAGATATCAGCAGAGGCAAACAAAACACTACGTAGCCACAGTAGTGATTTTAAAAAGGAACATGATAAATATCTGAGATACAGAAAAAGTACTGATGAATTAAAGTTTCAGTGAATTTCAGTGGAAGGTTTAGCATTTTAAGGAGAAGCGGAAGCGAATGGATGGATGGATGGATGGATGGAGGTTTAGCATTTGAGAATAACGCAGGGTCTTAAATCAAACAGGGATTTCTGTGGAGTATTGATTTGTAGTGGGACTTAAACAACCTGACTAGAGGCAGTTGCAAAGTAGACTTCTATGTGAAAAAGCTGACATTTGAATTTCAAATATTTTAATCAATATGAATAGAAAGATCAGTCCGAGGCGAGGACCAATTTCTGGGGCACATCTTCAGATGAGCCCAGGAAGCTAAAAGTGGTACTCTGGGCAATTGCATTGAAATCTGCCCAACAGGATATTATTCAAAGCCTTCCTACATGGGTCTTTAAGTCTTCAGTTTAAAACTGATCCACAGAGTCAAAAGCTTTATAGATGTCAATAAAAAGCTCAATGTTGCATGTTGTTTTTATCTGGATAAATTGTATAAGTTGCCACAGAGAGATTAACCCTCTCAGGCTCAAAGTAAACTTTTTGTTGCTAATGCACAACCAAGTCCTGCAGTGGTACTTCTGAGTAAAAAAACCCTCATAAAATATGTATGTGGGGTAATCAGGTTGTTAGTTTTTAACTGTTGCAAATCAGCAAAGCCTGTCTTGAGAGGGTTAAAAAGATATGGCAAAAGCAGAGTAATAAAATCCACTGCTAGCTTTAAAAAGTAAAAGTTTGAGGTTTAAAGGACCTGCTGACTTCCTGGCTTTTAAATGTTTGAGGGCTTTATGCACCTGTGGGACTGTCTCTGGAAGAAAATTAAAGGAATAACTTATGAGAATATTATCATTAGAGCAAACATTAGAGGGACTCTGATAAGTAATGTTAAGAGAATCAGAGAAAATGAAAGTCTTGTTCAGACTGGCAAGAATTTCAGCCTTATCAGAAATTCTTTATGAATCTTTAAAGATCTTTGTGACCTTGTTTTTGTTTCAGACATTTTAAAGATCAAATGATTCTTTAATCTTAAAAATTGAGCTATTAGTTGCAGGTCTAACATGAAGTTATGAAGACATCCCTTTGACTTCAGTGAATGGTGAATCTTTTTGTCTTTCATTTCTGACATTTAAGATCCTCATAATAATCGCTGGTTGATGCCCTACTGATTATGTATACACCTATTTGTGGCACATGTTTGGTGTGTGTGGCTGAATGCGTGTATGTATGTGTCATCTGACTCTGACTTTATTTATTTATAACCCATGATATAACCCAGCTAGTCGCACTGTGACTTTATGGAGGTGTCATTTCAAGCATCAGTTTCCACATCAATGTGGGAGGGAAGGCGCTTTGCAGTGACGTGCCAGTGGGTGTGAAAGGCTGAGTCCACAATAAATCAGGTTTATGGAGCAGATGAAGGAGAACTCCCAAGTACCTTTGTATTAGGAAGGTGATATTTTATATTGACCACTCACCACATCTGCTCTTTCTTCAAGGTGATTACATCATGTTGGTGTCCTGATGTTTCCGGACTACTACTTTTTTACTCTATTTGCTCCTGTTATTTTACATCTTTCCTTTAAAATGGGTTGAAGAGTTGCCAGAACAAATTAATGTAATCTATTTAGTTGGGGAAAGTGCTAGCATGCTAGAACGATAGTCAAGGTTACGTCATTGATTATGAATAAAGAGGGCATGCACACACACATGAACACGCACACACTCAAAAAAAAGACTTATTACCCTTGTTTTTATTGTGAGATGTAAGTGGACGAGGTCACTGACAGTGTATAGGAGTGCATTATGAATGAAAATTTATCATATTTCCAGTGGAAAGTCACACATGTGGTTATTATGTTCACACACAAACTGGCGGAAAGGCTCATTGATCCATTAACTTGTAAAATCAAGCGTGTGGATGTGGGCCAACTAAATCATGTTTCATTTACTTTTGCTAACTTGATGTCTGTCATTTTAATTTCATCTTTTTGCACATTTAATGAAGATGCAGAATGAATGTTTGAGAATCTTACAGGAAATTAAATGATAATCTACTGTTAGTAGTTGATGTATTAGTACATCTTAATATGCTTCTACCATAATTAACTACGTAGGTATAATTGAATTATAATTGCATTTAGTCGGTTACAGTGTATACGGACAGACTGCTGTGCAGTGTTTTTGTGTTATTACAATCAGTCCAAGTCTTGGGTGATAGAACAGCAACTCGTTTTTTTTTATTACTCTATTTGGTCTAATGCAACAATAATATTTATTATCTTACAGTCAAAGTAATAAGGTCAAAATTATTTATCGCTTCTTAAAAAAATTCAAACAGTCTTTTTATAATCTTTATCCTTTATATGAAATTTTAAAGGCTTAAAAACAAATAACAGGATCAATAAAATAAATCTTTTACATATCTGGCCCTCCAATAACACTGCTCACTTTTTTCCAAATTAAAAAACAAAAACAAAAATAAATAAAACCCAATACCAAACCATATAAATAACAGATCACAAATCCCAGCTTCATTCAAGAATGTCTTAAACAGAAAGTTGGAAAATGCTGCTTAGGGCATTATGAGAATCAGAACAAGTGTAAAGCACATAGTTTTCTACAAAGAGCTTTTTTAGCTGGAGTCTGATCTCAGAGCTTCTAAAGACCATAACAATTTTGTCAAAGATTTCCCCTTCTTCCCAGCACAAATCAGCAGAAATCACAGGACATGCCCAAGGGATAATGTGACACCGAAGAGCACAATACACTCTTTGCTTTCATTCTCATTTGTTTCTTACCACATTGAGAGTTTAATACATTACAAATACACAGAACGGCTGAGAACCTCAATTTACATCAAAAAGACCTTTTTTTTTCTCTTTAGTCTATTTATAGACTACTCCATTTGAAATCCTTAGCTTTTCCTTGTACGCAGCACTATCTCTACTCTATGCTTCGTATGTGGACCATATGAAATTGCATTTTAAGGACAAACACAAAGAGCTAATAAAAGTTAAGAATTTCTTGACTTCCTCAGTGTGTCCAAACAAGCATTTCTTTGCAATTTAGTGTCCTAATCTGCAACTTGTGCGTAGGAATGCAGTTTAACAGCATTAATTAAATGAATCCAGTTTGGAGTTACTAATGTGATTCATTAACCATGTCTTGACGTTTTACTTTTGCTGCATGGGGAAATCATGTTTGCTTCTCACTATCTGCTCTGTTGCAGCTGCGGGCTCAAGTAAAAACAAACACAAGGAAAATCCTCTCAATTCTCCAACCTACAATGAATATCAGTTATTGAATTGGTAATATTTTGCATGCATTTTACACCTAATGTTTGCTGAAGGCAGACACATTGCACTTCTTGCTTCTCATCAGATGTTAACACTCTGAAAGCTGAATATACACTGTGTAAGGCAAGAGTCAAAAGCCCGCCAATAAAACAATTGACATTGAGTGGCTGTAATTTGACAGTAGCTGTGACAACTCATTGAGGTAGTAATGGTTCTTTAAAACGCTTAGTAAAAAAATCCCTTCTCTGAGTTACCATATCCTACAATACTAGGTGTGACATCATCACATGAAATAATTTGCCTTCGATTGTGATGATGCCTAGCAACTAGAGTGACAGGCTACACCCATTGCCTAGCAACAGCGAAAAGGCACCTAAAATGAGACCGCCAACCTCTAACTTCAGGGTGCACTTACAGTGGGGCAAAAAAGTATTTAGTCAGCCACCGATTGTGCAAGTTCCCCCACTTAAAATGATGACAGAGGTCAGTAATTTGCACCAGAGGTAC